GACTTTTTTGACGTAATTTAATTTCAAATTAATAGTGTTACAGAATATTCTCCCTTGATTATGTCCACATTGCTATGATTATATTCATATTATAATTGATTGACATAATTAGATTAATTGATTTTGTACCATAGAATATTCTCTTATACAGGCCTATAAATAGGCACTTTGTATATGCAAATGAATCAAGAAAAGTATTTTCTTCATATTTTTCTCTCCTGCTTATTTTCCTCACATGGTATCAGAGCTTTCTAAGCTCTTTATTGTCTGTCGTTCTTCTTGAGGTTTTGTGCCTCCAATTCTTCATATATTTTGTGCCGGCCAGCATCGCGTGTTTCCAGCCATATATCGGTTCCGGATTTGGCTGCTGTTTCTTCTACTAGTTTTCTCTGATCTTTCACGGAGACTTTCCGGAGTTGTAGATCAGCCATATATCAACCAAAATTACCGCTGTGCAGATCCTTGCCTTCCGAAATTGCTTCCATTTTGTTTCCAGAGTTCCACTTCGACTTGGTGTTTTGCTTGGTCAGATTTTCTTTTAGTTACAACATATTTTTTTTTTATTATTATGGAGAAATCTGATATTTCCCAGCCAATTTCAACCATTTTAAATGGCTCAAATTACATACTCTGGGCTCAAAGTATGCGCAGTTTCTTGAAGGGTCGAAAATTATGGCGGTATATTACTGGTGACATTACACTTCCACAGAAAGTTACTGGTGAGACAGATAAGAAGTATGTTGATCGTCTGGAGGATTGGGATAGCAAAAATCATCAGATCATCACTTGGTTTCGTAACACCTCAATTCCTTCCATTCATCTTCAGTTTGGACGGTATGAAACAGCTAAGGAAGTGTGGGATTTGCTTGCAGCCAGGTATACCACTTCTGATTTATCCAGTCAATATCAATTGTGGGAAGAATTACACAATTTGAAACAAGAACGTGGAGAGTCCATTACTAGTTTTTATGCTAAGATGGAGGCTATTTGGGATCAGCTTGCTCTCTCAGAACCAACTTTCAATGACACTGCTGATATTGGGAAGTACATTGAGTATCGTGATAAAATGAGGTTAATTCAATTTCTTATTGTGCATGGTTCAAAATCATCAGTAGTATCCCTTCTAGTTATGTTTCCTAGTTGTGTGCCATCTCAACATCTTCCTCCTTGCACTTGTGGCATCTTCGTCTTGGTCATGCCTCTATTAGTAAACTTCGTCCTTTAATTCAAAATGGGTCTTTAGGTTCTATTAAAGAAGAGTCTTTACATTGTGTCTCATGTCAAGTTGCTAAACAACCTGCGTTATCTTTTAATAAAAGTGATTCCATTTCACTTGCACCTTTTGATTTAGTACATTCTGACGTATGGGGGCCATCTCCCACTCCTACCATGGGTGGTTCAAAATATTTTGTGTTATTTATTGATGATCATTCTCGCTTCACTTGGCTATATTTGATGAAAAAACGCTCAGAATTACCTCAAATTTATGTTGAGTTTGCTAATATGATCAAGACTCAATTCTCTAAAACTATCAAGGTCTTGAGAACTGATAATGCTCTTGAATATCTCGATTCTAAATTTTAGTCTTTTCTTAAAGAGCAGGGCACAATACAACAAAGATCTTGTCCATATACCTCTCAACAAAATGGGCGGGTTGAGCGAAAACATCGTCATATTTTGGACTTGGTTCGTGCTCTCTTGATTTCCTCTTCATGTCCTGAGCGTTTTTGGGGTGAAGCTGCACTTACAGCTGTCTATGTCATAAATCGAGTCCCCTCTATCGTCACACAAAATAAATCTCCCTATGAGTGTCTTTATGGTATTCTTCCTGCCTATGATCTTCTTAAAATTTTTGGTTGTGCTTGTTTTGTTCTTTTACCTTCTCATGAACATCACAAGTTAGAGCCTCGAGCTCGACTTTGTTGTTTTCTGGGGTATGGGATACAACATAATGGTTATCGTTGTTGGGATCCAGTATCACAAAAACTCCGTGTCTCTCGTCATGTTGTTTTTTGGGAACACACTATGTTTGCTTCTCTTTTTGAATTTAAGGTGTCTCCTTCTCATCGCCCTCCTATCTTCACTAACCCATCCCTTGAGTTATTCCCTAATGATGATGCAGGGTCTCCTAATGAGCTTTCAAATGATCAAACTTCCATGGCTCCTGTTTCAGAAGATGTCTCCTCTGCAGATATTGCACCTACAACAAATGAGATTGAAAATCCACCAGTTACTTCCTCTTCTAGTCATCCTACACGAGTAAGAAATCCACCTACATATCTTCAAGATTATCATTATTTTTCCACACTCACCTCCTTACATGAACCTCAGTCTTACAAAGAAGCTTCTTTAGATCCTTTATGGCGGCAAGCTATGCAAGAGGAATTACAGGCTTTGGAAAAGACAGGTACTTGGGACTTGGTTGATCTTCCTCCTGATAAGACTCTTGTTGGATGCAAGTGGGTATACAAGATCAAAACTCATTCTGATGGATCTGTGGAGCGCTATAAGGCACGTTTGGTGGCAAAGGGTTTTATGCAAGAATATGGCATTGACTATGAGGAGACCTTTGCTCCTGTTGCTTGTCTTACCACAGTACGTAGTTTACTAGCTATTGCTGCTGTACGTAAATGGAAGCTATTTCAGATGGATGTGAAGAATGCCTTTCTTAATGGTGATTTGGAAAAGGAGGTTTATATGAAACCGCCTCCTGGACTTACTCCTTCTTCGAATAAGGTATGTTGATTGCGACGAGCCTTGTATGGTTTAAAGCAGTCTCCTCGAGCTTGGTTTGCAAAATTCAGTTCTACTGTAAGTGAATTTGGTTTCACCTCTAGTCCACATGATACAGCTTTATTTGTTCGTAAATCTGCTTAGGGAATGGTTCTCTTACTCATATACGTTGATGATATGATTATCACTGGAGATGATGTTTTAGGGATTGATGAGCTTAAGCAGTTTCTCAACCATAGATTTGAGATGAAAGACCTTGGCTTTTTGAGTTATTTTTTGGGACTTGAAGTTACATCCTCAGATGCTGGTTATCTTCTCTCTCAGATGAAATATGCATCAGATCTCATATCTAAAGCCGATCTCACTGATAGTAAGACTGTCTCCACACCTCTTGAACCGAATGTCAAGCTCACACCATTAGATGGTTCTCCACTCCCTAACCCTTCTCGTTATCGGCAGTTGGTTGGTAGTTTGGTTTATCTCACTACGACACGCCCAGACATAGCATATGCAGTTCATGTTGTTAGTCAGTTTATGGCTGCCCCCCGGTCCACTCATTATGCTGCTGTACTTCGTATTATTCGCTATGTTAAGGGAACACTTTTTGATGGACTTCACTTTTTAGCTCATTCTTCTCTTGTCCTTCGTGCATATTCAGATGCTGATTGGGCTGGTGATCTTACAGATCGAAGATCCACTACTGGCTATTGTCTCTTTCTTGGTAACTCTCTTATTTCATGGCGTAGTAAGAAACAAGCTATTCC